TTTTGGGAGAATGGACATTTTGATGATATTGATTCTTCCAACCCATGAGCATGGAAGATTTTTCCATTTCTTGGTATCCTCTTCTACTTCTTCCTTTAAGGTTTTGTAATTTTCATCGTAGAGATCTTTAACGCCTTTGGTTAAGTTTATTCCAAGGTATTTGATTGTTTTTGTAGCTATTGTGAATGGGATTGATCTTAGAAGTTCTTCCTCAGCCATGGCATTGCCTGTGTATACAAAGGCTGTTGATTTTTGTGCATTGATTTTATACCCTGCTACTTTGCCAAACTCTTCTATGAGTCCCAATAGTCTCTTAGTAGAGTTCTTTGGGTCCCCTAAATAAAGAATCATGTCATCTGCAAAGAGGGATAGTTTGAGTTCTTCCTTCCCAATTTGTATCCCTTTAATTTCTTTTTCTTGCCTAATAGCTCTGGCTAGAACTTCCAGAACTATATTGAATAGCAGTGGTGAGAGTGGGCATCCCTGTCTGGTACCAGATCTCAGTGGAAATGCTTCCAAGTTTTCCCCATTCAATAGGATGTTGGCTGTGGGTTTTTCATAGATTGCTTTGATTGTATTGAGGAATGTTCCTTCCACACCCAGTTTGCTTAGAGTTTTCATCATGAAAGGGTGTTGTATTTTATCAAATGCTTTCTTGGCGTCTATTGAGATAATCATATGGTTTTTCTTCTGCAGTCTGTTAATGTGGTGTATCACATTGATTGTTTTGCGCACATTAAATCATCCCTGCATACCAGGGATAAATCCCACTTGGTCTGCGTGAGTTTCTTGATCTTTTATATATTCTAGTTATTAATCCTTTATCAGTTTTATAGTTTGCAAATAATTTCTCCCATACTGTCAGTTGCCTCTTCACTTTGCTGAGGGTTTATTTTGTAGTGTAGAAGCTTCTCAATTTGATGTAATCCCATTTGTCAATCATAGCTTTGATTGCCTGTGCCTCTGGGGTCTTTTCCAAAAACAACTTGCCTGTGCCAATGTCCCCAATTTTCTCTAATAATTTGATGGTATCAGGTCATATATTTAGGCCTTTAGTCCATTTTGAGTAAATTTTTGTGTAAGGTGTAAGGTAGGGGTCTTGTTTCATACTGCTGCATGTGGTGATCCAGTTTTGTAAGCACCATTTGTTGAAGACACTGTCCTTGCTCAAGCAATTGATTTTACCTCCTTTGTCCAAGATAAGTTGGTTGTAGATGTTTGGATTGATTTCTAGCAATTCTATTCTGTTCCATGGGTCTATCCATCTGTTTTTGTACCAGTAACAGGGCTGTTTTGATTACAACTGCCCTGTAATATGTCTTGCAATCTGGTATTGTGATGCCTCCAGCATTGTTTTTGTTGTATAAGAGTTCTTTAGATATCAGGGTCTCCTGTGTTTCCATATGAAGTTCAGCATCATTTTTTCTATATCTGAGAAAAATATCCTTGGTGTTGTTTTGATTGGTATTGCACTGAACCTGTAAATTGCTTTCAGTATTATGGACATTTTGATGATATAGATTATTCCAGTCCATGAACATGGAAGATTTTTCCATTTTTTTGTATCTTCTTCTATTCCTGTCTTTAATGTTTTGTAATGTGTATTATACAGATATTTGACATCCTTGTTTACATTTATTCCAGGTATTTGATTTTTTATGTAGCTTTTGTGAATGAGATTGATCTTTGCAGTTCTTTCTCTGCCATGGCATTGTCTGTGAGTATGAATTCCATTGATTTTTATGTGTAGATTTTATATCCTGCTAAGTTACCAAACTCTTCTATGAGTTCCAATAGTCTCTTAATAGAGTCCTTTCAATCCCCTATATCCATTACATCCTTTATTGCAGAATCATGTAATCTAAAAATGGGGATAGTTTGATTACTCCTTCCCATTTTTATCCCTTTGCTTTATTTTTCTTGCCTAATGGCTCTGGCTAAAACTTCTAGGACTACACTGAATAGCAATGGTGAGAGTAGGCATCTTTGTCTGGTTCCAGATCTCAGTGAGAATGCTTCCAACTTTTCCACATTCCAAAAATGGATGCTGGCCATGGGGTTTTCATAAACTGCCTTGATTGTGTTAAGGAATGTTCCTTCTATACCTGATTTGCTTAGAGTTTTTATCATAAAAGGGTGTTGTGTTTTATCAAATGCTTTCTCTTCATCTGTTGAGATAATCATATGGTTTTTATCATCTAATTATTAATGCAATGTATCACATTTATTGATTTGCATATGTTGAAGCACCCTACATAACAGGGATAATTCACATTTATTCCAGGTGAACGATCTTTCTGATGTGTTGTTGTTATTCAATTGGCTGATATTTTGTTGAGGATTTTTGTGTCTATGTTCATCAGGGAAATTGGTCTGTAATTCTCTTTCTCTGCTGCATATTTTTCAGGTTTAGGAATTAAGGTGATGTTGGCTTCATAGAAAGAATTTCGGAGAATTCCCTCCCTTTCAATTGTTTTGAATAGCTTGAAAAGTATTGTAGTAAGTTCTTCTTAAATGTCTGTTAGAATTCAGCAGTGAAGCCATTTGGTCCTGGGCTTTCCTTTGTTGGAAGGATCTTTATTACTGATTCAATTTCTGTCCTGGTTATGGATCTGTTTAGGTTTTGTGTGTCTTCACGGTTCAATTTAGGTGGGTTATATGTGTCCAGAATGTATCCATTGTTACTAGGTTTCCCAGTATGTTGTCATACAGCTCTTTGTAGTAATTTCTGATGATTTTTTTAATGTTTGTAGTGCCTATTGTTACATTTCCTTTTCATCTCTAATTTTATTAATTTGGATCTTTTCCCTCTTTTTTGGTTAGTTGGGTCAATGGTGTGTCAATTTTATTTTTTCAAAGAACCAAATCTTCATTTTGCTGATCTTTTGTATTGCTTTTTAGTTTCAGTTTTGCTTATTTCTTCTCTAATTTTCTTTTCTCCTACTAGTTTTGGGTTTGGTTTGCTGCTGTATTTCTATACCTTGAAATGCATTGATAACTCAATTATTTGATGCCTTTCCTATTTCTTGATGTAGACACCAGTTGCTATAAACTTTCCTCTTAACACTGCTTTGCATTATCCCATAAGATTTGATATGTTGTATTGTCATCTTCATTTGTTTCATCTTTGTTCATATATGAGAGCTTTCCAGGGTACAGTTTTCTGGGCTGACAGTTTTTCTCTTAAGACTTGGAATATATCTTGCCATTCTCTCCTAGCCTATAGAGTTTCTGATCAGAAGTCTGCTGTGAATCTAACTGGCGATCCTCTGAAAGTAATCTGGCATTTCTCTCATGCACATTTTAGAATCTTTTCTTTATGTTTTACAGTGGAGAGTTTGACTACAATGTTTTGTGGTGAAGATCTTTCTGGTCATGTCTATTAGGAGCTTTATTTGCTTTCTGTACTTGGATGTCCCTTTCTTCCTCCTAATTGGGGAAGTTTTCTGTAATTATTTCACTAAAAGGCCTTCTAATCTTTTCTCTTTCTACCACTTCATTTGGTAGTATCCTGTAGATTTCCAGCAATATTTTTAAGTTTTCTAATTTCTTCTTCTTTTGTCTGACTGTACAATTTCCTGTGATTTGTCTTTTAAGTCGGATATTCTTTCTTCTGCTTCACTGATTCTGCTGTTAAGTCTTTCCACTGCATTTTATTTGTTCTGTTGAATTCTTCATTTCCAAGATTTCATTATGACTTCTCTTTAAGATTTCAATTTTGTGGGAGAAGTTTTCTTTCATGTCATATATGGATTTCACTAGTTTGTGAATTTGCTTCTGATTAGTCCTAAGTAATCCTACAATCAATTTTATGAATTCCATTTCTGTTGTTTCTTCAGTCTCTTCATCTTCACAATCTAATATGGAAGTGTTGTGTTCTTTTGGGCATGTCATGTTGTCTGTTTTTATTCTTGTTTCCTGAATTGCCACATTTACTATTTGGCATTTACAGAGATATTCATTGGTTTCTTTTTTGTTTTCTCCCTGTGTTGGTTTTGATCTTTGGATTATATTTCTGTGGATTAGTAGAGTTTTTGCTTTTTCAGTGAATACCTAGAGGAGTATGCTAAGTGTGGCCAGGGAGCCCTGTTTAGCGCTCCAGGTTGAAGGGAGTGCCCAAGGTGACACCCACGTTTGGCATGGTAAATCTCCTCTTCTTTTTATTATAGGGGAGCTTTGTTTAGCTCTTTTGGTGTAGTCTCAGCTCACCTCTTCTCCTCAAGGGAAACTAGTGCCTGGGCACTAACCCCATTGGGTATAATATTCATCTGTACCGACACGAGAACCACTCAAAGGATCTGTGCCGTACTTGATGTAAGCACAGATTCTGTAGCAATAACACTCACCAGGGAATCAGGGAGCTCTGAGCATGTTGAGCCTCCCATAGTGACTGCCCAAAGTCCCAGCCACACTTAGAGCAGGCAAGCACTGCTCCTGATGACTTAAAGCAGGCAACTATCTGCTCCTGTCCTTTGATGACTGCTCCATGTCTTAAGTACTCCACACAGTCTTCAGTTTGGGATAAAAGCAATTCACCTGAGGGAGCTGCCAAGTGGTCTTGGCCACCACACTTTTCCAGGATGCTTTTTCCTACTGTTCTTTGAAGTCTTCTTTTCTGGCTTTGAAAGACTTATACAACAGTTCTAGTTTTATAGGATTTATCTTCAGGTCACTTCAGATCCTTTGTCAGAGGCTTCCCAAGCAAACAACTGTGTATGAGCCATTAAAATTCTGTCTCCTGTGTATCTAACCAACTTATCTCCTGCATAACACACTTCATCTGGATTCTTTCCTGTAATATCATAAGGATTCTCTCTCATTGTTCTAGGTTTCAGATCACAGTAGGCAGAATTTGGATCTAAATATCTCAAATATTTTGCAATATTTTCTGGAATCCTGAGATTCAGCACAATAATCTCATCTCTTGAACTCAAAATTCTGCCCAGGCATGTCAATGTTATCTGTATATTGATCTCCATCTTCATTTTCACTATTATAATCAAAATATGGAAAGCTTCATGAATTTGTGTGTCATCCTTACACAAGGGCCATGCTAATCTTCTTTGTGTCATTCCAATTTTAGTATATGTGCTGTTAAAGTTAGCACTATGGTTCAAGTTTTAAACTTTAGCCCCAAGTAGTTTTCAATCATGTTTTCCTATATAAATTTTTATACATAATATTAGTATTGTTTGTGAAAGAAATGGTAACTCTTTTGCAAAGCTGTATTAAACGTCCAGAGCATGACTTTTGAATGAACACTGAAACCATTGTATTGTATATCAAAACACTGCTACTTATATATTTTCACTGCAAAATAGTCTTGAAATATACTCATGATTTATACAGACAGAGGCTAGAATTTAGTAGCCCTAGTCTGTTTCCAAGTAAAAGACTGTTTCTACCACATTATGCAAAATAGTGGCTAAATAAAATCTTCAAATAAATGTACCTATTTAAAAGCATATAAACAAGCAAAGAAAATATGTTTTACAAGAGGTAGCAAAAAATAAATCTTCTAAAGACTAGTTCTGATTCTGTAATCCACACACTCATAGAATTTTATAGGAATTGACTATTATCTATAGAAGAAAATTTAAAGCTGCATTTCCAATTTTAAAGGATAGGACAAAGTCATAGGGGTTATGAGAAAGAAGAAAATGCTGACGTGAAAATATAGTGAGTTAAAGAACCTTCTGTAATAGACAATGTGATAGAAAATAAATAATTAAAAAATGTAATTTATTCCTGTGAACTTTCTCTACTCTCCACTTAGTAAAGAACTCATGTTTTAATCAGCTACACAGGAATCCCTTTATTCTCAGCACAGCCTTTAATATGTGATTAATATCTACAAAACTTTACAAAAAGAGCAGTAATGTACTGACAAGTCTGGCCTCAAGAACTGATGATTTGTAACCTGGGCTGGCACTCTGGAAGCAGTTTCTTGATTTCTGAACCAAACTATAATCCACTACTTACCTATAAACCTGGAGAGAAAGTTCGGTGGAATGAAGGAGTGCTTTCTAATATTATATAAGTCTATGAAATACAGAGTCCTCAGTAGGAGTAAATGCACACCATAAAATCATGTTCCCTACCTCCAGCAGTTGGAAAACATTACACACTACCACAATTCAGTAGTGCCCTTTTAATTGCACATGCTCAAGCAAAATACCACATTTTAGTTATATCTGGCATTTTGAAGAGTCAAGAGTTCAAAACTGGAATGTGTTTGAGTGAGAAAAAAGTATAGCCAAATACCCTACATTAAGAGGCAGCTTTTTGGATAAGCACAGTAATTTAGTTCAACTTACTTCAACTTACTTGGCCATATATAGCTTCCCATTTATTTTATTTAAAAGTATTAAACAAATAGAAGAGTGTTTCAATGCATATCCACACTTAAAGTGTTTGAATACTTTATGTACCTACATTCAAATGTCTACTGCTGAGGTTAAGAAGTGGTGACTGTCAGTTCTTTCCAAGTTTTCTCTGTTCCCTTCTCCAATTACATTACAGTCCCATCTCTACACAAAGGTTTTCATCATTGTGACTTTCATGGTAATCCTCCCATTTTTCTTTCTGTTTGAAATAATTTTATTACTTATAAATGTATCCAATTTTAAACTGCACAAATATAAAGTCATATTTGACAACATCTTATGTCTTTCTTATTTCATACCATAGAAGGTAGGAGAAGTTCATTGCATGACACTTACCGGTAACTGGCTGTCATTCAGTATCCCTGATGAATAGTATTCCATCTTAAAACTATTCTACAAGGTATTTTCCACTTCAATATTATGGATATTTTAGTTTTCTAGAATTTGTTAATGGTCTTTTAATCCCTTTATTGTACTATTATCCATTATGTGCACATCCAACTTTCCTGTGGAATGTCCATCAAATTTTTAAAGTGTTTAAGGCTTTGGTCCAATTTCTTTTGTTTTCTTTTGTCATTTTCTTGGCAACTTCTGTGAGATGTTTATATAATGGGGATATATTGTGTGGATTTTATTTTTTGGCTATAAGGAATAAAAATTGCCTTCTGTAATACTTTTTATTCCCTTTGTTGTGTATTGATATATACAAGTTTTAAATTTTAATGTAGATAAATGAACAATTTTTTTCTGTGGGACTTGTACCTATTATGTCCTGACTTCAAAAATATCTGAAATTATATTTAAGATGGCTGTAACTCAAATCTTTAAGGGGTTTCCAAGAATTATCTTCTGAAAGAATGCATATCATGACCATTCACATTGGAGTTTTTAATATACTTATAGTTTTGTTGTTGTTTTTATTTTCAGTTTCTTCCCTTTTTCTGACAAGGTAGACAAATATTAAAAGTTTATATATTCTATTTGGTCCCATGGGTCTACTGGCCTATTCCAAGCATTTAGCACACTGTAAGGATGCAGTGACATTATTTGTTAGGCTAACCCTCTCTGGGGCAGATTCTATGTTGTAGCAGGTAAAAGTCACCATCTCCAGTGCCGGCGTCCCATATGGGCGCTGGTTCTAGTCCTGGCTACTCCACTTCTGACCCAGCTCTCTACTATGGTCTGGGAAAGCAGTAGAAGATGGCCCAAGTCCTTGGGTCTCTACACCTGTGCGGGAGACACAGAAGAAGCTCCTGGCTCCTGGCTTCAGAGCGGTGCAGCTCCGGCCTTTGTGGCCATCTGGGGAGTGAACCAGTGGATGGAAGACCTCTTTCTTTCTCTGCCTCTTCTCTCTCTGTGTAACTCTGAATTTCAATTAAATAAATAAATCTTTTAAAAAGGCAGGCAACTCTCAATTTTTTGGTCAAGACTTTTTGGCTACTCTTGGCTTTTAGGCTACCAACTAAAATTCCTAACCTGCATGTCAAACGCATAGAGAAACAGCAACATGACTGGATTTTTTGAATTTATTTGAGGAGTATTGATCAGCCATGTAGGGTCTTGAATCCTAGAGCAATCTCTATATTTGCTAAGCTGTTTCACTTAGCTTTATCAGTTTTTCAAGTACAGGTCTGATACTTCTTTTGTCAGACATAAGCCTAGGTGCTTGATCATTTGATATCATTATAAAAAATTTAACTCAATTTCTTACATAAACAAGACTAGTGTCTGCAAATACTAGCTGATAAAACAAAAAAAGGGAGAAAACAATCCAACATGGGAAGCAGGATACACAGCAGACTCATAGAATGGCAGATGTCCTAAACAGCACTCTGGCCTCAGAATCAGCCCTTAAGGCATTCAGATCCAGCTGAAAAGCCCATGAGAGTATTTCAGGCATGTAAAGCCAAGACACTCTGGCAAAAAATAAATAAGTAAATAAAAACGAAATGACCTAAATGAAAGAACTCTGCGACTAAAATCCCAGTGGAAAGAACCGGTCATGAAAGAAGGAGGTACCTTTCTCTGAAGGGAGGAGAGAACTTTCACTTTGACTATGGCCTTGTCTAAATATGATCAGAGTCAGCGAACTCAAAAGGCCTCCATAGCCTTGGCAACTCATGACAAGAGCCTAGGGTGATTACTGATGCCATAAACAAGAGTGTCAATTGTTAAGTCAACAACAGGAGTCACTGTGCACTTACTCCTCATGTAGGATCTTTGCCCTAAATGTGTTGTACATTGTGATTTAATGCTATAACTAGTACTCAAACAGTATTTTACACTTTGTGTTTCTGTGTGGGTGCAAACTGTTAAAAGCTTTACTTAATATATGCTAAACTGATCTTCTGTATATAAAGATAATTGAAAATGAATCTTGATGTGAATGGAAGGGGAGAGGGAGCAGGAGAGGGGAGGGTTGCTGGTGGAGGGAAGTTATGGGGGGGGAGCCATTGTAATCCATAAGCTGTACTTTGGAAATTTATATTCATTAAATAAAAGTTAAAAAATAATTTAACTCAATTTCTTAAATAATTTGTTACTGAAGTAATCAAGGTGGTTTTCAGAAACTGAAATTGAGTCCACTAAACTTGCTAAATACTCTGCCAATCTTCCATAAGTTATTTGTAAGCTTCTTTTTTGGATTGGAAGCATAGCATTCATTCATTAATCAGATACTTTATGATTGCCAAAAGTGTGTCACAGGCATTCTCATAGGTACTTGGGTAAAGCAATGAACAAACTGAACAAGCTAAGTACAAGTATTTTATAATATATTAGAGATAAGTACAAAAAAAATCAAAGGAGAAAGGGATTACTGCAATTGCAGTGGGGGAGAATAACTTCAGAATTTTAAATAAAGTCATAAAGTTTTAGATTTGGACAAATATTTGAAGCTGATGGGAGAAAAGGCCATGTAGGTATTTGGAAAAGAGTAGTTGATGCTGAAGGAACCCAAGGGTATAAAACCTCAGGTAGGAAAAAATTTTTCATCTTTTAGTACACCTAGTATGTCTGGAGAGGAAGAAACAAAAATTAGAGAAGGAAGGAGATTGTGCAGACTGTTACACATTACTTTAAAGACAGATTTATTTGTTTGTTTTTACTCTAAGCGATATGATAAGTCATTGGACAGAAAAAATGGCCTACTATGACCTTAAAACTATCTAAAGACTCTTTTAGCTGGCTGACATGGGTGACTCCACTTACAGTGTCAAGATGTAAACAGAGATGCTGGGGGAAAGCTACTGACATAAGCCAGATCATATTTGATAATGGTTTAGCATAGCAGTGCTATCTGTAGTAACAAGATAATCAGAATAAAATCTATTTTGAGGATAGATTAACTAGAATATACAGATGATTTAGATATAAAATTTGAAAATAAACAGACTGAGAATCAATCAATGATGCTTACAACTATTTTGCTTGAGAAACTGGAAGAATGAAGTTTATCACAAGTAAGATGGAAAAGTAGGTGGCATAATTATTGGCAAAGATGTGGACTGAATGGGAGTTGAGTTTTAAATGTTAACTTTAGGATTTTTATTTGATATACAACTAAGGGAGATCAAGGAATAACTGCATATATGAATCTGGATTTCAGAAAATAAGTTTAGGTTAGAGCTTAAAATTTTGAGATAATTCTTATCTATGTAATACTTAATGCCATGGGCTAAAATGAAATCATTAAAGGAGGAAGCAAAGATGGTGACAAGAA